CCGGCCAGAAGAATATTTTGCATACAACTTTGGTTGACCCCAAAAAGATTCTTTTACCATCACTACACATTAAGTTGGGTTTAATGAAACAATTTGTAAAAGCTTTGCCTTAAGTTGGTGATTGTTTTAAATATTTATGTAGAAAATTTCTTCATTTATCAGAAGCTAAACTGAAAGAAGGGATTTTCGTTGGGCCTGATATTCGTAAATTGATGCTCGAAGCAACGATGAGTACAAAGGAAAAAGAGGCTTGGATATCATTTAGAGAAGTTGTGACGAAGTTTTTGGGCAATGTAAAATATCCTAACTATGAACTTATCATATCTAACATGGTAAACAATTTTAAAAATCCTGGTTGTCTGATGAGCCTCAAAGTCCACTTTTTGCGCAACCATCTTGACTTTTTTCCTAAAAACTTAGGTGATGTCAGTGAAGAGCAAGGGGAACGGTTTCATCAGGACATCAAAGGAATGAAGACACGATGCCAAGGAAGGTAATCCCTCCCAGACGTTTTCTCCAATCCTCGAAGCACTTCAAAAAATCATTTTTTTTTATCTTCTTCAGCTCTTCCTTTGATGTCGTTCTTATCTCCTTTATCTCCTCAATCGTAGCGTAGCGTCGTCCTTTCATGGGCCTCTACAGTTTCGGGAACAAGAAAAGCTCACAAGGGGGAATACGGTGGCTACAGCGTTATTGGTGTGTTGTGTTTGGCAAAAATTCGCGCACGCGTAACAATGTGTTAGCATGGGCGTTATTATGGTGCAAAAGCCAATTTTTCTTCTTCTACAAATCCGGGCGTTTCTGGCGGATTGCATCACGCAAATTGAATTTAACTTGGAGGTAATATTCCTTATTGACCGTTCTGCCTTGTGGCAGCAACTCATAATGCAGTACGCCCCTGAAATCGAAGAAAACTGTTTGCAAAACCTTCACATTCGGCCTTTTTTCGGCCTTGGCTCGTGCGGCAGCTTCCATTGGGATGATTAAGCTTTGATTTCCACGTCATAACCATAAACCCATGATTCATTACCAGTAATGATCCTCTGGAGCAAATTTGGGTCGTCGCGGACAGAGTCTAATAACTTCATGGCAATCTTAATGCGATGTTATTTTAGATGGAAATTAAGATATTTTGGAACGACGACCCGTCTCATGCCCAAATCATTGGTAAAAATCAGCAACTTTTCTAACGGTGATTCGACGATTGGCCAATACTATTTTCTTCACTTCATTAATGTTTTCGTCTGTCTGAGAACATTTTGTACCACCGATAAGCGTTGCTTCAGTTCAAAGTAGCTTCACCACATGCCACTCTCAAACATTCGGAATCCGTCCGCGCACTTAATTTTGGTTTTCACACAAAATTTGATACGGATTCTTTGATCTATTTTTTTTTGAAGTGAAAACTTCTTTAGCGACGTTGGGCACTTTTTGACAGGGGAAAATGTTATGGGTTCACGTCACTGACATGCTTCTAGCAGTATATTTTTCATTTCTTACCTTAGTTATCATAAGCCTATTGTATCTTTTTTAGATCACAATGAAATAATTAAAAGTACAAAAAGTCTAAGTATTGTTGAAATGAATGATGACAATGATGCAAACAATGTTAAAAATCAGGTACATTGAAATTTATGTAAATATTTGAATAATAAAAAACCATATAAACATGCATATAATTGTTGCTCGGAGTGTCAATAGATGTGAAAACCAGATTGATGTTGATAATTTTTATTCAAACATTGTGAAATTTCAAATTTTAATACTAAAAGTTCTAAGTTTTCACTTCTATCGGCAGTCCCTATAACTGCCAATTTTTTTTTTAGTCATTCAAAGAAATATGATGAGAGCAGCCAAACTCGATACAATGCATTATTGATTTTTTTTTCTTTTTTGGTGAGCACCCAGGCAAATTGTAACGTTGTTGCGCCCCTGTATGTATGTATATATATATATACATAATACATATCAAAATCTAAACTAAGCGCTGAGAATTAAATGAACTGAACACAGTTAAACAATAAGCTATCAAATGCAATTACTAATGTTACCAATTCAGAAAATAGTGACAAACTATAATTGTTAATCAGACAAATCATACACAGTATTTGTGAAATCGCAAACAACTTTGTAAAAAGGTACGACTCGGTAAAATAATTAGACTTCTTACCCTCTCCATGTTCAAGGGGAGGAAACACGAACGAGACTTCGCTTCTCCATATTTCAATTCCTTCTCATTTGTCACCTCCATGTTTATTCATTATGATTAATTCAAAACCTGTTGATACAATTTAATATTAGTAATTGTTTTATTTTATTCATGTAAGCTCATCTAAGATCACAAGATCCTTCAAGTTGAAAAGAACACCATTACACGCGACTTGCTTTTTCAGTCAATCTGTAAAAATAAAGAATAAAAGCGAATAAATTGTCCTATNAATTCCTTCCTTTAGCAAAACAACTCTGCAGTTAATTTAGTAAAAAAAATGTATAATGAAATCTTAAACTAACACTGAATCTTTTCCCTGTAAAAAAAAATACTATATATACTAGTTCTTCTCCCCTATCAGTCACTGTCAGCTCGAAACTGTTAGCACCATTGCTTCCAGCAGTAGAAATTCACCTTTATGAACAATATGTTTAATCACTTTCATTGTGTTAAAAATTGTTTGAAAAATTAAATTTAGAGGAATTGTTGTAAATAGGTATGCAACACATCGTACACTTCAGCATAACAAAGTGCTGATACTACTACTTTGGCCTGTGCTGACAGTACTATAATTTCTTTTATATATAATATTTTAGCACGTAAACTCATCTAAATTATCTATAGGGATGAAGAGTTAACATTAATAACATCATAGCAGACAATTTACTTTTTCAGTATCAGTCAATAAACTTCAATGCTCTCTTCCTCTCTCATTTATCGTCAATCTAAAAAAATTGAACAGAATAAATACGCGCATCGAGAATATTTCTCAAAAAATGTAATTTTTGAAATTAGATATCCCTTTAATAAACATAAAAATAAGTAATTCAAATTTTCTAAATTGACACTAAAATCAAAAAACATTATTTTTTAACAAAAAGGGGCATTGTAATTGAAGTTATTTTTATTTATAATAAATCTACTAACATATCTCATTAGAAAAGGGTGAATGTAAAAACAAGTATTCCCTCCAAGACAAAACTGCAATTTAAGAACAACTCCACAGAAATTCAGACTGCATGTTTGAACATGTAAAATACAGAAGTGGCGTAGCAATTCTATATTACAACTAGGTCTTATTCTACTCAATAATTGAGATATAAAAAAAAATTACATGCATATAAAAAAATAGTTTCAGTCATACAGTGTTCCATTTCTTCTGGACGCTACCTAACTTCGTTATTTTAAATGGAACACTACATATTTTTAAATTTTTAGTTTCTTCGTTTAATTTTAGGTCGACTTTCTTTACAGTTAACATTTTATATTAAAAAAAAAGTTATTCGTCTTGTAAGATTGTCAAAAGTAGGTTTCGATATTTCCGACTCTTTTCAACAGCCGCATCTTTTTATCGAGTATAATTGCCGAGATATTAAAATGTTTGAGGTACTACAAACGTCAAATTTTCTAGAAATTACTAAATAACTCAATAAATATACCGTGCAGGCAAAACTATGCTTAACGAACTGGACATGTCGGTCCAAGAGCCCTATTTTCATCATGAAATTGCTGCCCTCTTTAAATCCCAATTCAATTTTATGAACTCGATTCAAAGATTATAATTAGCTATGGTAGTAAAAACAGGAACCAAGACATTAATTTAGTACTGATATCATGCAGCTACCATTTTCTGCAAAAATTCAAAGTCTTAAATTGCATCCAAAGTATTGTAAAAAAATTAATTCATAATTGATAAATTGAAATTCTATTTTAGAATTAAGTTTACGTGCTCGAAACTTGATCTATATTACATATATTAAGCACATATATTATAAGTATGTAAGCATAATCCAAATAAACTAACAATAAGAAAAAAATTAATTACCGAGGAGGATGAGGAGCATGAGGAGACACCTACTATAAACAACTTACTATAATGACCATAGATAATATAATGGCTATGAAAATTCGTTTGGCGGCCATTTATTATCTATAACCATTTATTGACGACCATAGATAAGAGAATATCAAGAGATATATTATATCCATAGATAATAGATACACAAAGGGTATTATATCTCTAATCTATGTTGGCGGCTTGATTAGCGGCCAAACTGTAATTATAAACATATTTACTTATTTATAATAAATTCATAAATACGATATAAATTATAACAACCTGGTTATAACGATTATAATAAACTTAACGCAGGCGCGCCAAGAATTATTTCAACCCTTGTATATTCATTTTTAATTTTAAGTATTACTTGCTAAAAGGATGTGATTGATATCAGTAAAAAAAAAAATACATGCTATAATTAGAAACAACTGTTCATGAATTTGAGTAGGTATCCTAGACTAGGTAGGTATTCGATAAAGTTTATAATGAGATATTTATATATCTCATTATATACCGGGAGTGTGCAAATGGTCAAAATTTATAATTATTACAAAAATTTAAATAAACGTTTTAAAAAACGGCAACTTATTTTGACTGTAATTTTATGTTTTCTTTATACAGAACCAATCCTACCTATTAGATTTCTATTTACGCACTTATATGCATAAATAAATTACTCATAATTAAAATAGAAATTTCAAAAACATTTACAGTTTTAACGATTTTGATAGAAAATGATAATAAAAGATAGGTATCAAAGGCTATGTCCATCTTATATACTGTATACATATTAATTAATTATGATTAGAATATAATATTTACCTACATGAAGGCAAAAACATTAAAATGTTTACTGGGGAAATAAATTATAAAGAAAAAAGTGAGTTATCAACCAACATTCAAATTACAATTAGCAATATTTAATTAAGAGCTTTCGATAGTTGCATGACCTCCAGCAAAAGTTTTTACCCAAGAATTTTAAATTTCTTACCTGTTGAATAAAAGGGCTACATAACACGGCCATTGTTTGTGAAAAGATGGCTGGCAGGCTGACATAAAACGCATAAAACTGAAGCCATCATGACGAAGGGCGCCATATTGTTACCCTAAAAAATTATTAGTAATATAATTATTTATTAAAGTGAATTAATTGTTATAACTACAGATAGCCTCAAATTAATGAGAAAAAAATTGATTGAAAACATTCATATTTACTGTTAAAAAGATATATTGACATAATAATGTTTTATAATAACCCTGTATAATGGTCATTTTATCTAAAGGTCATTGACGTAAGTACGAATCAGAGTTTATCTGTGATCAGAGTAGTTCATTTGGTTAACTAATGGGCGATTTTATCAGACTTTATTGACGTCTTAACCATAGATTCTCTTGACGAATTTGACGATCACTATGAACTATTAATAGAAATTCTAAACTGTTTTAAAAATTAACAATTATAAGATATGCCCAAAGTTTATTAATAACAACAATACAGTAAAATAAGAGGTAGTTATGCGACATTTAACAGCTGGCGTACACGTTTTTGCTCAAAATGATATCTTTTACTATCTGATAACGTAAGCTATCAACAACAATGCAAGCGATTTTATCAAGCTTATCGAGTGGCAATGATTCATAAGGAAGTATAAACGAGAAAGTGGCAAACTTTTGTGTAGTTTAATGTACACATCAGTGCCAAAGGCAATGTACTCAAAGGTTTGTTAATATCCAGTATTACAAATTCATATTAGGGCATTAAAATGTCTGGAGGTGATAAAAACAAGAAGAAAGCACCCCACAGTCAAGGATGGGAAGAAGCTGGTGCAGAATTCTATCAAGAAAGTTATCCATCCAATGATGTTGACTTTGAAGTTCTGCAACGTGACCCAAAGCATTTGGCAACTCTTTTACCAAGTAAACAGTCACGTGCAGGTAATTAAAATTGACTTTATTATGTAACTGTGTTATTAGTTGAAATAATATTTACTGTTTACAGCTACCTTTAAAAGGATCAGAGGAACTGATAATACTAGAACATTTAGAAGACAAACTTCATCGAGATCCAGACAAGAATCCTTTACAAGAAGGACCTCAACTTTAGGTGATGTTCAAGTTTCAATGCTTCCAGATTTATCAGAAAATTTATCAAATGAACAAAGCACATGGGAAGAAATCATGAGAATTAAAGCATTACCTGTTCCTATGGCTGAAAAAAGGGAAATGAAATTGAAACTGCAGGTAAAAATATTTTACATGAATCAGATATTAGAAAAATTAGATGTTGTGTTTAACTTTGTATTTTGTGTACATTTTCCAAATATCTTAGTCAGATATCTTATATTTTGTAATTTTATCACAAAACTAAACACTCATAATTTAATTGACACCGTTTTATCTATTTTGTATGAATCAGACAAATAATATGCAAATACTTGTCCCACTACTTGAGAATGATGTTTAATAGTATGTTATTGAAGCACTAAAATTTAGTTTTTTATCTCTGCCTTATTTTTATTTCAGAGTGAACCAAATTTGCGACTTCAAGGTTATGAACAATTTAAGTGGAAAAGAAGAAAAATATTGGATAAGTTTAGAAGTAATGTAAAGGAAAAATATTCTAAATTAGAACTGTGGAAAGGTGAAATGAAGAAGATTGAAGGTAATTTTGGAACAGGCGTTGTAGCATATTTTTTATTCATCAAATGGCTTATGGTCTTGAATTTTTGCATATTTCTTCTGATATTCTTGTTCATCATCCTTCCAACAATTTTGTTTAATTATGAAGAAGAATTAACTTGTACCGGAGAACTAAATTCTACCCAGTGTTGTTCAGCACAGTATTACAATCAATCATTTAGCAGCGACAGTTTTTTTTTAAGTTTAGTGCAAGGTAGAGGATGGATGGAGAAAACTGTAATGTTCTACGGTTATTACTCAGATAGAACATTTGAGTATTTCATAAATTCAACACCAATGTATTATAATTTGCCTTTTTCATATGTTTGCATGTTACTCGTAATGTTTCTAATTTCGTTATTTGCTATTATAAAGGCGGCAGCTAAAGGTTTTAAAGAACGTTTAATAGAAGGCGAAGGTCAGTTTTATCAGTACTGCAATTTGGTATTTAACGGATGGGATTTTTGCATAGATAATGAAAAAACAGCTGCCATAAAGCATAAGGCAATTTATAATGAAATAAAAGGCCTCCTGGAAAATGAAAGAATACAGGAAGAAAAACAGAACAGGACCAGAGAAGAGAAGACTAAATTATATATATTACGATTTATAATTAATTTGATAGTACTTGTTGTACNGTATAACTAATTTTTAAATGTACTTAAATGTCCCTTAAGGTATTGGTAGAGCAAGTATGTGTACTACAAAAGCCTCTGAACATTTGAAGTTTGAGACATTAGCAGTAACAGTTCCTAAGCCTTTTGTATTCCATGTGGAATTGAATAGACCAGATAAAGAAAATGAAAGAATACAGGAAGAAAAACAGAACAGGACCAGAGAAGAGAAGACTAAATTATATATATTACGATTTATAATTAATTTGATAGTACTTGTTGTACTTGCAAGTTGCGGAATAGCAGTTTACTTCGTTTTCGAATTTTCGCAAAATATCCTAAAACAATTCGATAGTAGCGAGAATAATTCATACCTTTTGGGGAATTTAAAAGAGCTGTTTTACGAATATTTACCATCACTTTGCATAGTCTTGTTTAATTTGCTTGTTCCATTTTCGTTCAGATATCTAGTCACTTTAGAAAAGTACAGCCCGTTATTTGTAATAAGAATAACGTTAATTCGTACGATATTCTTGAGGTTGATGTCTTTAGGAATACTCTTGGCATCTTTATACCTTCGCGTCAATTGCGAATTAAAAGACGACGTATGTTATAGTAGCCAGTGTACACCTCAGTGCTGGGAAACTTATGCCGGACAACAATTTTTTAAACTTATAATCACAGATTTTGCTACGCACATCATCATAACATTTTTACTGAACTTTCCACGAAGTATCATAGCGCAAAGTTCCAATTCGAAAGTTGCCAAATTTATCGGTGAGCAACATTTCGAACTGCCGAAGCACGTCTTGGACGTTATTTACATTCAAACTCTGGTATGGCTGGGCAGTTTTTACGCTCCCATTTTGTCCGCCATGGCTACTATACTTCTTTTCTTCATGTTCTACATAAAAAAATTCGCTTGCTTGATCAACAGCGTCCCAGGGAACATCATTTACCATGCATCTCGTTCTAATTCCATGTTCATGATTATTTTGTTAGGTGGATACACTTTCGCTTTAATCCCCATCTTTTACGCAATTTCCGAAGTTCTTCCATCGAAATCTTGTGGGCCATTCAGAGGCTTGAATACTGTCTGGAGCAAAGTGATTAACACGTTCAACCTCACGCCCTCTTGGGTACAAAACATCGTCTATTTCATTAGCACGGCTGGTTTTGCAATACCAGCTTTCCTTTTCTTGATTCTTTTATTGTACTATTATTGGGCCATCAATTCTGCTAACAGACACATGGTGTCGGTTTTGAAGAACCAGTTGATGTTGGAAGGGCATGATAAACAATTTTTGTTAGACCGATTAAGTATGTTCATAAGGCAACAACAAGAATCCCAAAGGAAAATGAGACACACTGAGATTATGCGTGCAAGCGGAGGTGACAGAAACGTTGCTAGTAATTAATAAATCAAACAATAATATGTTACCGTTAATATGCTTACATGGCTAGTTTGTAAGCCACGTGTATGCTAACTGTCCAAATGTCTGCTTTGACAAAATGCGGTAAATTGTGCGTGATGTTGTTGGTATGTATTTCATAAAAGGACGGAGAAGTAATGTTAATATATTTCATCAAATCAGACTTTTGGATAGATTGCACACTATCCAGTTAGTTTATAAACTAGTCAAGTACGGGGTTTTGCATAAGTTAGTACAACTTTCAATTATTTATTTATATTATATTGTTCGTTCTGTAACAGGATATCCTACAATATTTAAATCAATTTCAAAGAGAATGCAATAATGTTTTATTACAACTAAGAAAAAGAAATTTCATTTAAATTTAATTTAGATGAAAAGCGGTAACAAAATTTCTTTTTATGATTAATTTGTCTTTATGTATCATATTAAGGCATCAATCAAGAAGACTAGAGATAGGAGTAAGGACTACATAAGGACGCGTTATGATCGGCGCACAATAAGTAGTGCTCAATAGTTTGCAGCGCAGTAAGGCAATTTCAGGCGCAGATAAGATTTTGTTTGTTTTATGTTTGATAACTGACTTAACGGTTGTGGAGTTTTGGGGTTTTAGTGTTTGTTTACTTTTTAGATCCATTCGCTTTGGGTTGAAGTTTTGCTCCTATCTCTTAGTCTTTTTGGCATCAAATGTGTCCACATCGTATTATTATCTCTAGTTCAAATTGATGATTGTGTGCACTGTTCAAAAAATACGTTTCAAGTAAAAGAATATTAAATGCTTCTGCAAAAAGAAAATACAACTGCCATTACCAAAGATTACAAGACTTATTAGATGACATTAAGACATTTATGATATTTATTTTTGCACATCGCATTTTTATTTTTCACTCTTTAATTACCTGTTAATTTTATTGCAGTGCTTTTATCTTTACAATACTTGCTTCAATAATTCATGAAAATATAATCCTGCTTTCAAAGTATAATGGATGTGTATGATAATTTAATCATTAAGGGTATTCCCTTTGTTTATTGAAAATAATTATATTATCAAAGTCACTAAATGACATTAAAATTGGCAGACTAATAAGCATTCAGACCCTAAAATTATCGAAATATTATTGTTATATGATTAAATATAAACTGCTATTTTATTTATCGTATATATATTTGTATAGAATATGTTTTATGTTAAACCTGAAATATGCCAAATTTTTTATACCAAAAAAGATTTACTGACTGCTCAACGTAACTGCTCTAAATAATACATAGTGCATTCAGTTTATATACCAATTATTTTTTAATTTATCACCTATTCTATAAATGGGTGAGATATTTATACGAGTGGTATAAATTTTAATTATATATACCGATATTATTATAGTTATTGTAAATGAATAAAGTAGCGTAAATATCAGTAGTGATAACTACTGGTATTTCAAAAAAAAAAAAATATTTAAAAAAGCCAATTTAAAATTTGATCTCAAATTCTTGCCATTGTAATGATAAAGTGTATCATTATATTAGATTTAGAAGGGGCAATTATATATATTGCTGTATACAAGCCATAAAATAATATATTTTTTTGTGTAATTTTTATTTGAATAAATTTTATTTTAAATGTTAATTTAAAATAAAGAAATAACTGAACATGTTTTATTTAAAGATTACTGATCATTATTATAATGAATTGTATTTATTTAATGTAATTACCCCTTCTAAGTTACACAAATGTAGTTATTGTACAATAATAGTACTTGTGTTATCATTTAATGTAATAAGTATGTGATACATTTCTAAGTCACTTATTTGATAACTGTTTTAAACAAATATATTGAATTACCATTAAGACTCGTTTCATTTTTATGTAATATTATTTCGTTTTTAATTGTTTTCAACCAACTTCTCAATTTGCTACTTTACGTATATTTTTATAACAGACATCAGTTAATAAAACTGAGTGAAGTTTCAAGTACTTTATTTTTCAATTAGTAAATATATGCATTTGCTAAAAAAATTAATATACATCTTGAAAATAAATAATGAGATTTGTAATCAAAAATTACTTTCAATTGACTATCGCGAGTTCGTTTGAATATTTTTAGTATTATGCAAACCAATATTGCGCTACTAAACTCGAAATTAGAAGTACAATACCAAATAAGAAAGATCACAAGCGCATTAATAAATAAAAATTAGTGACTTATCTGTAACCTCCTCTGTTGTAATTGGATCGACCTCGCCCGCCCGTGTTCTCGTTTCGAGGCCGGTATTGCTGATTCTGTCTACTTTCTTGAACATACTGGTCCGCGTAAGTTGATTTGTTTTGTTGAAATTGCTCATAAGTTTTCTGCCTTTTTGGCTCATTGTAATTGGCACTCGTTCTACCTGAGGATGAGTAGTAGTTATTATCCTGAGAATAAGAGGTTCCAGCGTTTTGGGAATACGTACTTTCCATTTCATAGCTTCCAGCACTATCAAAGGGAGCGCTGCTTCGTCCATAATCGGAGCCTCCTCGATTGTAGTCGTTTTCTCCCCGTCGGTAGTAACCGCTTCCTCCTTGGTTATAATCATTCCTTCCTCGATTATAGTTGCTTTCTCCTTGATTGTAATCATTACCTCCTCTACTATAATCATTGCCTCCTCTATTGTAATCATTTCCTTCTCGATTGTAGTTATTCCCACCTCTGTTGTCGTCGTGCCCACCTCGATTATAGTTGCTCCCTCCTTGATTGAAATAATTACCTCCTCTATTGTAATCATTTCCGCCCCGATTATAGTCACTCCCTCCTTTGCCAACATCGCTTCCTCCTCGAGAGTAACTGCTCCCTCCCCCGCGACTGTAGTCGCTTTTTCCTTGTTGGTAGTTCACGTTACCCCCATAACTACCAGCATTGTCATATCCTCCCCCACTTCGATTTAAACTACCTGAGCTGCCACCAAAGCTGTTTTTATTAAATGAACCGCTGCTCTGTTGTTGTCCTCCGCCCCGTCGACCTTGTTGCCTACCACCACCACCCCCTCTACCTCCACGACCGCCTGGAGGTGGTCCTGCGGTTCGTTGTTGCCATGAAGGCATTTCAGGTGGAGGAGGAGCTTGTTCTGATGTTCTGCCCCCTCTGTCAGGAACCTAAAAGAATGAAATAAGTTATTAGTAATTTATTAACCCAATTTCATTTTTTTTTTAATAAGTAAATTCTTACCTTTCCAATAATAACTTTACTGATTGCTGACTGAGTGTTTTTTCTAACTGTTGAATTGCTGGTTTTTTCAATAACAGCCAAATCATCCCTCGCAGCTAAAAGATCGGATATATCTACATCTGGTTCAGACTTAAGTATTTTTCTCTTTTTTTCATAAACGTCTTCAAATAGTTCTTCTTTACCTTTAGTCTTATCTGACCACTGAAATATTTAAGAAACGAATACTCAAAGGTGAAAATCACGTTTTACTCTAAATTTCTTACTTGAAAAGATTGAACAGTGCAATCTAAACGTTTTAATAAAGTTTCCCTTCGAATTGTATAATCCTCTTGCAATTCCTTATGAACGTCGTTGAGTTTATCCCATTGTGCTTCCGAAAGCATGCCATTAAATAAAGAATTACCAATGAGATCTGGATTAGCTTTTGAAATGGTATTTTGAATTGACTGGGTCAATTTTTGAATTAATGTTTGAACAGTAATATTTGGTGGGGGCCTTGAAAATCCTAATGTTTGTAATATCTTCCTTAAATCGGCCGCTTGTGGTGTTTCATTCTGAGAAAAATTAGGTGATTAACAGCAATTTTATTTTAGAATAACATACTTTTTATTTATATTATCATATTAAATTTGAAAATTTATATTTTCACTTTTTACCTATCAAACATTTTTACTTATTGTTTTCTTTGTAAATGTTGAAAATATATAGATATTTAACCAAGATAACCTTGCACACAATTACTAATAAGTATTGAAGTTTTATATGTCATCAATTTGTAAAGCTACTTGACATTCGGCAATGATATCACATACCATTACCTTCAGAAGATCCGTGTAGAAGCAGAACTTGCTATCTACAGATATGGTTTAATAAATTAAATAAATAATAATATTAATTCCTAGAAGTAAATTTAAGGTCCTTCCCTCAAAGCAACATTCTGTAAGACTTAGGAGTATACTTTAACAATATTCAAGTTACCTAGATAACTATTCTTCTAATATAAGCAATAACACATTCTTCTGAAATATTGTTGTAGAATGTGCAATATAAAAACCAATACACTCAAAAACTGACATGAACTTTGCAGATTATAAATAGCATAAGAATTGAATACAGTACTTCTGCAAAGATACCTACTATTTTTAATTGACTTACTAGTTTAAGTTCCAATTTTTTTGCAGGCTTATTTTCTTCAAGAATTCTAGCAGCCATGACTTCTGTTATTAAGTAATCTAACAACAGCAGCCTATCATCCACAGTAGCAAATCTATCACTTGCATGGCCATGAATAAGTGAACTATAGGGGCAACCTGTCAAAGTAATTTTGTCAAAGTAATTTCTTACAGTTTTGATATGTTTGATAACATCGTAATATTTCTATACCTGATTCCTTCAAAAGTGAGCTAACTTCTAGTATAAAAGAAATGGAGTCTTCAGTGGTAGCCATTGGATTCACACATTCATCTAAGTCAGCCAGTAATCGCAATTCACTACAGAGATAGCTTACCAGGCAACTAAATTCTATACTTTTTGGGCCTTCTTCAATTGCCTTATAAAATTCAATTTTATCCAAGAGTGGACCAGTATATCTACTCAATGAAAAAACAATCACAATGCTACTTATGCGTAGGTTAGAAACATTTCATTTCACTCACCCTATTTCTTTAATAAGGTCAAAAATTGCATCTTTTTTATTAGTCATTTTTCTTATTATATGATTTACACAGACAGATAAACAGATTTTTTTCAACTAAAAATTGTTGAGCTTAACCGGTGTCGCTATTTCAATTTTCTAGAAATGACATCATAGATAAATGACATCAAATGACATAGACCATAGATAATAGATACACAAAGGGTAATACATAGAGAAGTCACCATAGGATATCTCAACATATTTCATAGATATCATAGTCACACCCGAATAAAGCCGAACGTCAATTAAAAAAATATAACCTAAATAAGAATAGTAAAAATATGAAAATTAAAGATGCATAAGCTCAAATATTTTACTTCTTAAAACTATATAAATCAATTATATACCACATAATTGTGATCATTGTGGTTTGGTAAATATAAATGAAGAATGAATGAAGGCCTATAACGTCTGCAAGGTGCTGTAAGTTTTTAAAATAATAAATATCGACAAGTCCAAAGTACACCTAGTACACTTATGGTGTCCATACAAAGTGATACTTGACTACAGTAGGTATTGAAGATATTTTTCACCAAAGTGTCTACTGTTAATAGTATTTCATAAAATGCTATTGAAATTTGGAAGAAAAGAGTTAACTGCATCAATTAATCTCATCAAAGGTGATAAAATAAATTACTGTTTATTTTTGTATAACTAATTTTTAAATGTACTTAAATGTCCCTTAAGGTATTGGTAGAGCAAGTATGTGTACTACAAAAGCCTCTGAACATTTGAAGTTTGAGACATTAGCAGTAACAGTTCCTAAGCCTTTTGTATTCCATGTGGAATTGAATAGACCAGATAAATTAAATGCCCTAAGCCATTTAATGTGGATGTAAGTTAACAAATTTACTAATATCGAAATGTTGACATATGTAGCAATTATTAAAAATAATAGTATTTATTTGCTCTTTTATGTTTTTTTTATATTTAATAAGTATTGTGATACAGGATGTATCATTTATTAAGTTCAATAATTCTTTTAGTATATGCCCCTATGTCATCTTAATATTTATTTAATGTATGTGTTTGGATAATACATTAATGCTGATTTATTTTAGTGAAATTAAAAAGTGTTTTGAGGCACTCAGTTCCGAGGCTGACTGCCGTGTTGTTGTAGTATCAGCAGCAGGAAGAATTTTTACAGCAGGTAATATATCATTAATAATTACCAACACCAGGCAACCAGATACATCATAATTTTGGGTGGTTTAGGGGGTTATATTTGATTTTTAGAATTTAATAATTATGTATGTATTACTGACAATGAACCGTCATTATTTGGTACATTTTGTTCATTACTATATTTACTTTTAAATATTTAAATCTTTTTCCTGGCGAAGCTACCACATCGCGAAGCAGTAGAAATGTGGTTTGAGTAATTATTATATTATTTGAAATAATAACGGTTGGTATTTTATTTAAATCATTATAATAAGGAGCTTCAAAAATGAATTGTCTAATAATTAGTGGTTGTTGAATTTTAATATTTTATTTTTAATAAGGTTTAGATATAAAAAGTGCGACAAACACGATGCAGTCATTTGCAGAAGCAAATGATATTGCCAGAAAAGCAAAGATTTTAGAAGAATTAATTAGATTATACCAACAGAGCATGTCATCCTTAGAAATATGCAAGAAACCTGTATTAACGGGTATTCACTCTGCTTGTATTGGTGCAGGTGTAGACTTAATTACCTCAGCTGATATAAGGTATTGTACAAACGATGCTTGGTTTCAAGTGAAAGAGGTAAGTTGGTAAAAGTATTCATCTTTTTTTGTATTCTGATGACTCATGTGGTTTCTAGGTTGATATAGGAATGGCAGCAGATGTGGGAACTCTACAAAGATTACCTAGAGTAATAGGATCAGAAAGTTTAGCAAGAGAATTGTGTTTTACTGCTCGAAAATTCTCTGCTGACGAAGCTTTTCGATGTGGATTAGTTTCAAAAGTTTTTGATGATAAAGAAAGGTAATTTTAATAATTAAACAAGCAATATATAATTTTCGATGTGTAACATCTTACCGTTCGTTATGTACATATGTGGGAGTAATTTTGTGAATGTGGCGGAAACCGTAAGCGAAAGTTAAAAAGGACGAAGCACACGCTATTCAATCAATGCTGTCTATAATTGGCGTTTACTGAGAGAGGATGGGGTGAAATTATTTTTTCTGCTACCGGTGTTAGATGTTACACATTTGTAAGACTCGAATTTTTTTATTTGCCTGGACTAATATGTGCAGTATGTTAACGGGACTGTTGAAAACGGCCGAAGAAATTGCATCAAAAAGCCCGGTTGCTGTTCAGGGAACGAAGTCGAACATTATTTATTCGCGAGACCATACAGTGCAGGAAGGCCTTGAAAGAATGGTAAGTGTTTACTTTTTGTGTTTAGCTAACAAGCTATAAAAAAAATGAGTATGTTAGTTACAAATATGTAATATTAAAAATTCAATGTGCTGCCTTTTCCATTCTTGCTGCCCGTTTTCATTGTTTTTGGGACATTTAGAAAATGTAATACCAGTTCAATTATAAAATTTATATTTTTTCAGATTATCTGGAACCAATTTATGATGCAAAGTGAAGATTTCGTGACTGCGCTAGTTGGTCAAGCCACAAAGGACGACAACATAATGTTCTCTAAGCTTTGAAACTTTAAATATTTATGACGCTGGCTGACTGGCAAGGGAATAGGTATTTTTAATTTATGTTTTTATTTGTATTTTTTGTGTATTACAAATATATAAGTAAACATTTCTGCGTTGCTACCTGTTTTAGTCAACCTAAAAACAAAATAACTTATTACCATAATTATTAAGGATTTAATAAAAAATATTTAAAATGATAAAGTGCATTGTTTGACCATTTATACATCGGCAGTGTTTGCCATTGCAGCAAGAACTTGGGAAAAGGTTTGTGGGGGTGGTGTTTTTTCTCTTTCGTCTTCCACTCTGTCAGCTAATCGGTAAATATAAGCTTCGCCTTCAGGATCATGCTACCAATACAAAATTGAATTATATACAGGGCAATTATTTTTTGGTGAGATTTGCGAATTTCTAACGAAGGGGGGGGGAGTAAATTGAAATAAAAATATTGCTCGATATTTGGCTTGAAATACCAGTCTTCGTCCCTATCATAAAATGAACATAGAAAAGCGCTTGTAAAATTATTGAGTAATATAAGGCATTTTCTAAGCTTCGGGAATTGATAATTGTGTAAAAAAGTACGTAGAATTTTATGTTACTAACAGTTTTCGAGTGCAGTGTGAAATAGGTACTTTCCGGCATTATTTGTGCTAAAATATATAAATAATTTAAATATAAAAAGGCGCTCGTGAAATTATTCGGAGATGGAAGATAATTACTAAAAATTGAGAAATGATAATTATCTGAAGAACTATTTATAATTTCCTAGTGCCAACGGTGTTCCGGTATTATTTTTGCTGAAATAAATATGGGTCAGAATTTGTTGCGACAATTTAGGAAAAGATATAATTAATTAAAGGGTTTATAGACTATGTGAAGCGAGAAAGTACGCTGGCATGTCACAAAGAAGCAATAACGATGCAAAATTATGAGATATAAAAATGTTCATGAATAGATAGGGAGATGACATGCTGTAGAGGATAACACAAGAGATTTATTTAATTAATTAAGGCGAAATCTGTGAGATAAAGCAAATCTAACTATACGCTCAGAATGAGAGAGTGAAAAGCAGATTAAAAACACAGAGGAGTGAGTTTTAGATCTAGTATAAAGGATTAAAATACTATTATTATATACAGGGTGATTGGTATTACAATTCTACTGTAATGTTCTGTCCCATACTTATAGCAATTACTTTGGTGTGCAATCAACAGAACATTATACATTTTGTTTGCATGCTTTAACATACCATCAACTGATTAATGTAATATTCGTAAGGAACTTTCTGTGTGTAAGGATCGACTGCAATTTCCATCATTTCCGCTATTTCATCCTCATTAAAAGGTTCACCATCTTGACTCATTATCGTCATAAAAAAATCTTTTGCGAGATAGCCGTGTCCTTCAGGATCAAGAACATGAAAAGCGTCTAATAGTTTGTCAGGAGTGGCGGGTTCATACCTACAATTTTTTTTTCAACAATACGTTTTAATTAATATATGTATGATGCGTATTATAACTTATGTTCTGTGATTAATTGGGCGGCATAAGGCAGAAAAGTTTGCATATGAACGATATCCGGATTTTTCGGATCTTCGATTGCAACCATAACTTCCTGAATTTCAGCTTCAGTGGGGCAGCAGCCCAAGCCACGTAAAACTGTTGCAATGTCTCGAATATCTACCTTTTTAGTTCCCGTATGATCAAACAATTCAAAAACATCTGCTATTCTCCTTTCCAGATCATTATTTATGTCAACTGGAATTGTTTTTTTAATTAAAGTATTTGTTTGTCAAGAGCACTATTAAAACAAAATTTATAATATATATTACATAAGCACCAAAGTGGAACAATTCTCGGTATTCATTAATTTTCCGACAAGGGAGAATATAACCAATTTTGTAACTTTTACGTGTTTGTTTCTTTTTTATTATAGAGTCATAAGATTTGAACGATTGTCCTCGACTCATGAGAATATTATAATTGTTAATATTTAGCTTTTCAGAATCTTAAATGACCTTACACTAGTTTCACCGAAATTGGCGCCTTATATTGGTTTTTTCAATAACAGCCAAATCATCCCTCGCAGCTAAAAGATCGGATATATCTACATCTGGTTCAGACTTAAGTATTTTTCTCTTTTTTTCATAAACGTCTTCAAATAGTTCTTCTTTACCTTTAGTCTTATCTGACCACTGAAATATTTAAGAAACGAATACTCAAAGGTGAAAATCACGTTTTACTCTAAATTTCTTACTTGAAAAGATTGAACAGTGCAATCTAAACGTTTTAATAAAGTTTCCCTTCGAATTGTATAATCCTCTTGCAATTCCTTATGAACGTCGTTGAGTTTATCCCATTGTGCTTCCGAAAGNTAATTAATTATTATAATAATAAGCAATATTTATAGGGATATATACGAAAAAAGTACATTAAAGTAGAAAATCAAAAATATCCAAATTATTTTTAAACTAGGCAAATAATTTGGATAAATGTACAAAAAACACTCATACCAACAATTTCGGCTTCCTCCTCTTCAGCCATTATAGGAATTTACACAATAATTTTTATTTTATAAGCAATTATTTTATTAATTAAACATTTGCCGGTATCATAGCAACCAATGCGCATGAAACGCTGGTTGCGTCACCACGGTCACCACAATCATGCGCAGCAAATGGTCGCCATTTGTACAATTTGCGCGTGCATTTTCGTGTGACGGTTTACCTTATGTAGGTATATTTTACTTATCTGACAACAAATATAAATTGCTTGAAAATGAGTTCAACAATAGATCCAGCAAAACTAAAAGTAGTGGAGCTTCGTTCTGAACTAACCGCTCGAGGTTTAGATACGAAAGGAAATAAGGCGGTTTTAGTGAAGCGTTTGAAAGATGCCTTGGAGAAGGAATTACAACAAGGTACATAAGTTAATCATAGATATTTTTAAACGATTCCGTCGTTTTGCTTTAAGTACTTTATAATCGAATGTTAATGTCCACAGCATGTTCTATACAAGTTGAAATTAATAATTCTCTGTATTTGTACAAGGCTTAAAAGTGATGTTTATGTTGTGTTTTTAAATTGTATATATCGTGCTGCATAACCTTAAATGCGTTTTAGCCGCTTTAACTAAAACATTTCTCTTAATTATTTTAGAAATCCCAGATACTTCAATAATAGACACATCAACTGAAGAGCTTAATACTTCTCAGGAAAGCATACCTGAAGCTGATAATTCCCAAAATGATGAACCAGCAAAAAAAGAAGAAGAAGAAGAAGAACTCTCTATACCTGAGGATGTTGAAATGAGGGTAAGTACATTATTATTTTGTTCATATTACATAAATACCTTATAAAAAGCAGAAGATAAATTACCTACAGCAGTTGTTGTCTGCAAATTGAACAAAATTATACTTACTTTAAAATGCACTAATGACCAATCAAAATTGTAGTTGAGGATATCATTAGATAATGTTTTATTCCAATAGCGATTGTTTTTCAAGTTATTTTCTGCTTTAATTTATTATGAAAAGTAGATCATGTTTTTTTTTTACTTTTTTTGTGTTTCATAACTATTTAGGAAGAGGCAGAATCAAAAGTAGAAGAACCTGAAATATCCAAATCTAATAAAGAAGAAGAAAAGAATCAGAAACAACTTACAGAAAATGGTGAAAGTTCTGCCGATGTTGAAGTATCCAAAGTAAGTAATCAAAATTTATTGCAAATCATTTTGAAATATATTTGTCATTTTTGTATATGTATTTGTAAATGCATTATTATGGAGAATTGCTGAATTCAATTTATACTTACATTAACTGATAATATTTGTTGGTGAATTTTTAAATATGATTATTGCATGAATAATTTCTTAAATAAAATACATTCTAAATTAATAAAAACAGCTAAGAAATGTTAATTTGAAATTGTAATATATTCAATTAAAAGATTCTAATTTGTTATTATATTTAAGACTATATAAAATTGCTTTTGAATAAACAATTTAGTCTAAAGTTAATTACAATTCACATTCCTAATTTTTCAAAGAAGTTACATGCCATTACCTACAGTTATGACTGAACAAGATAAATATCTTTTACTATCACATTCTTTTAGACAGTTTTGTGGTCTGCAGTTATTTATTATTTGGTACTTCTTTTTTGCAGGATGCTGTAGAAGAATCAAAAGAACCGGAAACAACAAAGACAAGGGAATCAGAAAAGGAAAAGGAGCCAAGAGGAGAAAAAAGAGCTAGAAGCCCATCACCTGGTAATGCACCCCCCAAACGGACTCGGTCTCCCGTGAAGGAAGACGAGCCCCAGATAGATAACGATAAAGTGCAACTTAGCTGGTGTAAGTAGAAAGTTTATTTTTCGTGTTGTTAGAATTGTATAGAGTTGTTCAATAAATCATTATTTTAGTGACGTTTTGTTTGTTTTTCTTTTATTTTTCTAACCTGACCGACGACTCCTTCAATTATTTTGTATAGAAACCGGAAATAAACGAAAAAAGAATTACTTTCCGCCCCAATCCTATGACGTAGACTGTTATTGAACTGCTCTTTCTAAATGTTATAATTTGATTAAATGTATTTTTTATTTGTTGAAAAAATGAAAAGATTCCGAGAAATATCGATACTGAGTGTTATTAATGTTTTCAGATGATTGCGATCTTCATCTCAACATTGATAAGCAATCGTTTTTATCAGCCAAACCTTATCACGAAGGTGCATTCGGATATGCGTGGGCGGGAGCTAGAACGACTCACGGTATCAGCTCCGGAAAGGTAGCTATTCATTCCAGTTTCTGCAGTTGATTTTTTTGTATCATTATCATTCTCTTAATTTAACAAACGCAACACATCATATTATCGTAGAAATTTAGTAGCGTTGATTAGAAATTTTTGGTTTTGGGGCTTATGCAAGAGTAGTTTTTTTTTTTAAGTAAATGCATATAAGAACGCTGAAAAAAGTAAATAACTTTGCTATAAATGAAATTTTTCATGAAACAATTTATTTTAATGTGTAATAAAAATTTCTCATAAATTTTTAAAAATCTTGCTGTTTATACAAGGTGCTGACAAAACTTGAGGGGGCTATTAAAAAATATCCTTACCTCGGAAAATATTTATTTTAATTTTAATAAGCAAAAATACATGCTATTTTTAAATCTTATCTTCTGTATCAGGGGTTATCTTTATTTTGAAAATAATTGTTGTTTATCATTATCTACCTCAAGCTGTTTACGGTTTAAATTGATATTTACCGTAGTTGTTAAATGCCTATCATATAAATTATTGATTTTATTATTCCTGACGAATTTACATAGTTCTAATAAATGATTTATTTTTTGGGAAACGAAATAAAGTTTCCGATTATTTCGAATATGTATTTGATTAAAATTAAATTAAAAAGAGATAATTGCTGAAAAAAATGTTATATTATTTGAACAATTTTTAAATGAAATTATTCGTTATACTATTTTTTTTAAATAACTTAATTTTCAATTTTTTGTTTTTATGAAGGCCCGTTATGAAGTAAAAATTACAGAAAGTTTAAAGTGGGAAGAAATAATAAAACCATTGACAAAAAGGGAACTTAAAAAGAGATCCCATAAAAGTTCTAGCAGAAAAGATGACCATAGAAAAGGCGAAAGCAAAAAAGGAGAGGACACCAAGAAAGAATCAAGCGATGAAAAAAATGAAGTGAAAAACGGGAATCAAGAACCTGCGGAAGAAAAGAAAATGGAAGTTGACGAAGAAAAACCCGATGAAACAGACAACAAGCAAGAAGAAAATAAACACGTTGAGCAGAAACAAAAGGCAGAAGATAAAGAGGAAGAAAATAAAGATGTAAAGCAGAAAGGAAAGGCAGAAGACAAAGAGGAAGAAAATAAAGATGTAAAGCAGAAAGAAAAGGCAGAAGACAAAGAGGAAGAAAATAAAGATGTAAAGCAGAAAGAAAAGGCAGAAGATAAAGAGGAACAAAATAAAGATGTAAAGCAGAAAGAAAAGGCAGAAGATAAAGAGGAAGATGAAGTTATCGAACCTCTTGTCACACATTTGATTAGGGTTGGTTGGTCTGTGGCAGACACTGGCCTACAACTTGGGGAAAATAAAAATTCTTTTGCCTACGAATCGTCGGGAAAATTTGTCGTTGGTGGAAAATTTACAGATTTTGGGACTCAGGCAGCTGTCGGTGATGTTATTGGGGCATACATTGTAAGTAAAATGTTATGTTTTTATATATGTTTATACTTCTTTTGGTGCGTTGAGAGCGAATCGGCATGTAACAGAAGTTGCGCACGCACAGCTAACAAAAATTCAGACAGTATGTTGAGTAAATGTATAAATAGAAGTTCAATTCTAACGCGTATACATAAAGTAAACACACTTTTTTTTTTAATAGTGCAACTGTATTAAGTTGGGATGCTTCAAAATGAATACATACAACGAAAATTGCAGTATTCTATTTTCTATTAAAACTTAAAATATTGACCGTTTTTTAGGATATTACTACTGAATCTGTCACATTTTCTTTCACCGTAAATGGCCAATTACAACCTACGACGGAAACGATATCCAGATCTGAACTTCCTGAAGAAAATTTTGCTCTTTTCCCTCACGTTTTATCTAAAAATTATACATTCGAAATCAACCTTGGTACAAATGAAGAACCATGGTATCCCAATCCTAGCGAGTTAGAAGATTACAAATTTATTCACGAAGTCGAAGACAAAGTATCTGGACCTGTTAGGCCGGAAAAAAGAGAAGAGTGTGAAGTATGTTATTACTTTTGCGATTAATTAATTAATTCATTAATATTAATCTGATCTAATGTGTTAAAGGTAGTTATGATGTGTGGACTGCCAGCGTCTGGCAAAACTTACTGGGCCAAGCAATGGATTTCTGACAATGCCGATAAAAAGTACACTTTGATTGGGAATTCACACTTGTTGGAACGTATGACAGTAAGTTTTGTAAAAGATCGATTAACTCGATTAGTTTCTTTTTTACAAAGTCAATATTAATGTTTTACATATTCAGATAAACGGAAAACCGTTGAAAAATCGATATCAAGGGAGGTGGAATACGGTTATGGATAAAATAAATAGATGCGTGAACACCCTTGTGAAAGCCGCCAGCGTGAGAAGACGCAACTACATTCTAGACCAGGTGAGTGTCAGCTGCAAAATTTCAAACTATGACAGAAATTCGGGACTGTTTATAATATCGAATGCAAGAGGTGCAATTGAACATTAATTTAATAGCAAAATTAACTAGGAGACACGTCAATTTGTACATTTTTACTGATACTTTTTTTAATGAACGTAAAATTCCGAGCTTTTTAATGAAGAAAGGGCATAAAGAGTTAAACTTCAACAATATATGATAAAGGGAGATTTGGTTTATCAAACACGGAAATAGTTGTTAGTATGTGAGCTCGATTAATTTTAAAAATTACTTTACAAGATATGGTACCTAATCATTAACATATTTCTATCTCGTAATCAAGAAAAGTGTGTCCTAGTTATTTTTGCGATTAGTAATAAGGGTACCGACACCAGAATTTCTGCAGAAATAACGACTAAAGTAAGTACGTATTTATAAAGTTTTGTTAAAACAATGACATCTTTAAAAAACTAATTTGGTAAGTACTTAATTATAAATTGGCATTGAGGCACAAAGAGTTTATCCGCCGTGTAAGAGGTAAATGAACAATTTATTTAATTCTCGAGTTTGTATGAATATTGAATTTACTTCTCAGTACGTGTCGCATAAATCGACTGGTAGGGGTATTATAGCGAGTTTCATAAGTTCAGTTAAAAATTTGAATATTAAGTATTGTCTATAAAGATGCTTAGGTTTCAAACGTCATTAAACCAACAATTCATAGCGGCTTCATATGCAAATTGTTATTTTTCCTTTAATTACGTAACATTAGGTTTTTTTTAATGTAGATGTAGATACTTATGTAAATACATCACAAGATAGGGTTTTTAGGTCAATAATTCGACTTAACAAGGTTCCATCTTGCGGAAACTCGTTTTCATGCAGTTTTAAAAGAAAGTATGCATATATATGGTGCAGATACTATAAAATGATTCGATAAAGGGAATTTTTAGCATTTTTAAAATAAGTACAGCAATTGTGGTTTGGCAGAAACAACTTTAAATAGATATGCACTGTTTGGCAAAACGTGATGCTTAAAATCCATTAAAAGAAAATGAAAAGGTCAGTTCTTACTCTTAAAGTCTCTTGGTGATTGTAGTAGTAGTAAGTTGAGAAATATCCTTTAGCGGTAACATTAATTACATGCTTGTCTTCATGGAGCAGCTGTTACAGCGTTAAAGTACTAAAAGAAGAATTTAATTTCGTGTATCATTGTTATAGCTTTTTAACAATTTTGCAAAAATAGGTAGTTAACAAAGGGTTACTAGTTTTTTATATTATGAAAAGTAAAGTGTACATTGAAAGTAATCCAAATGGTTTTATTCATATTGAATAAATATTATTAGAGAGTGATACACAATTAAAAATAAAAAGTAATATAATTAGCCGTTACGAGACGCCTGGCAAAAACGAAACAATAGCTGCGCTTTATTCAAAATGACGATCTTGTTTTAAAATTAACTCCGATATTCACAAATGAAGGGATGAATACATGTGTAATAAAGGAAACAACAATATAAGCGGAGAGAAGAGAATGCTGTCTTCAGAAGGAGGCGACCATTTACGAGACTGGTTAATTGAAGTGTTGTTCCATCTTGCCACGCTTGAATTGATTTTACTCCCTAGTTGGGCCAAAAAAAAATTTTAAACCCTGAAAATGTTAATATTCATACAAACTCCTTATTTATAATTGGAACTAACAGGTTGAATGTAATGTAGATTGTAAAAAGAGAAAGACTGGGAACATATTATAGATTCGTTGTAAGCTTGTACTCCTACAAGCAAGGCACTGTTAAATGTAATATTTTTGTGGAAGTGAGTACGATGATGATAATGATCAAAGGACTGTAAAAAGTGAGTGAGCTCACTTTTGAAAACTCTATTATAAGTTAATTGTTACATAAAGAACAATTGACAAAATGTGTAATATGCGTAGACCTCAGATGTGTAAGTACATATGGAGAGGAACAACTCTTAATTTTTATTTTGTTAATGTGAAAAATTATTGTACTGAAATGTGGTGTTATGTTATTGTGCCAATGTGGAATTTACTAATCTATTTACAATTGTTTGTACATCCGCCATTCGTTATAAAGTGGCGCATCTAGTCTATTAGTATTTTGTAAGTGATTTGCAGAAGCAAAACGAGATCGAATGATTAATTGAACCGAATGAATTGTTTGTAGCTTATTGCGAAAATTAAAATCGATTTTGCATACACTGCTCCTGCTATTAAGGTGTGGCAGTTAAAATCTCACAACTACGCAGTAGGTAATTAATTATTATTATATATGTATAATATTAAATGTTGTAATCATTGAAGGCGTATCTCACGAATGTGAGAATATAACATCTCGAGTTCTGAATTTTGGAAAAGCATTGGAAGGAAATCAACATATTATTGTAGGCATCGTAAAAGTAGATTTTGTCTTTTCTAATAACACCTACATAATTTTTACCATTGAATAATTAATGTAAATAATCCGAATCCAAATATAAATAATAGTTAAGTGTTCAATATATTGTTATTTTAAAAATTTAAAACATTTGTAAATAATTATGAGTGCTGTGCTCCTTTTCAAAATTTTGCATAATAAGTAAATAGCACAGAATTTTTTGTTATTGTATGTACCGAATCTGAAAATTTCACCAGAACTTATACTTTTTATATGATAACATTCTTGGAACACCGTGTTTGTGAACAAGAAATAACTGTAAAATTAAATCGTTTTCATTACAACAGCATCTGCATTACATTAAAGATTCGGAGGTTGATTAATTTATAATATTAAAGTAGGTACATAGAAGGGAAGCGTATTTTATAAAAAAAATATGCTGCTAGTTGTGATATTTTAAATGTTTGCAAATGTTGGTTACCGATAACGATAAAACTATAATATTGAGCGTTATGTAGACGAATATACTGCCATCTGCCCAACGAGACAAAATGCGACTATTTGAGGGTTTCAAGAGGCGAGCTGTTATTGTAGTTGTCACCGACGAAGAGCAGGCGAAAAGGGAAGCCCAGCAAGAAGCGCAAGGTGGTAAAGACCTACCCGAACTAGCCGTTTTAGAAATGAAAGGTATACAAATACTACATACAATGTTTTATGTACACTCATTGCTAAATCTCTCTGTCTTATCAATTAATTATTTTTCATTTTAGTTTTGACGTCGCAGCGTTGTAACTTACTTTTAATTATACAATATTTTTATTATCAGTTCATCACTTGTAGTAAGATAAATTGATCTAAGTGATGATCTTCAAGACATCCAAGGCAATTTATGTTACTGAAGGGTTCTAAATTTTTACTTTTAATTTAAATATTGTACTGATATTTTTATCTTCTTTTTTATTTTAGGTTTATTTTAGTGATCATAAATCGTTGCAGGTAACGGACTCGATTTTGCAATTATTTTAAACTTAAATTTTTTATATGAATTTTAATGCTACAAGTAAAATTTCAATATTATTATAAAGACAATTACAACTGAAAATGCGAGTCTGTTACTTTAAACGTATTTATACTTACGATTAGTTGTTCGATTGAAAACAAAAATTTTTTAGCCATGATGGGTTTACCGAGAAACTGCGACTGGTTGAACGAGGTCAAATACGCTGAGCTAAAGGAAGAAGAAGCTCGTGCCATGGTTCAAAAGTACAATAAACAAGGTAAAGATGCAGGTTTCAAGCCATTTCCCGACAGAAAGGATAACAGATATCCTCTTAACAAGTGGGATCACAATTCCTCTAGACGTAAGATACCGTTTTAGTTGGTTTATTTATGAACCTTTTTATTTCGGTTTTTTTTATTATTGCAGGTTTCCAAGGTGGTTACAACAGACATCACAACTACAACAGAGGAAGTTGGAATAATAGAAGACCACCCAGTGGTAGTTGGAACCAAGATGTAAGAAATCGCGGACCAGCAGTAAGAGACTGGGGTAAATAGAAAGCTTATTAAGTAATTGCGATAAGTATGTAATTATTGTTTTCTTTTTATCTTTTAGGGCGTCAACAAAATAGAGGACCCAGGGATAACAGAAGCACTAATTACAATCGTAATCAAAGAAGTAGTTCTGGTGGAGGGTCTTGGCAAGGAAGTGGAGGAGGAGGCAGTTGGCAAGGGCAAGGACAAGGTAGTAACTGGAATAATTCAAGCAACCAGGGTTGGAGTGGAAGTTCCAATTGGAGCGGACAAGGCCAATGGAAGAGCGGCAGTTATGGGAGTCAGGGAAGTTATGGTCAAGACTACGGACAAGGTTACAGTAACTATTCCAACTGGGACTACTATCGCCCAGGAGGGTATGATCAAGGATGGAGCTCGCAGGTAATATTTAAAATTAAGTGGAACGAATTTGATAGAACAGTTGCAAAACAAAATTTAAGTTATATTATAAAACAAACACTTCCTATAATTGTCTTATTATATAGCAGAGTTCGTCCCAGTATCCGGCGTCAGGATATGGTGACAATTATGGTCAATACCAGAGTAATTCATGGTCCCAAGGAGGCGGAAAGTACAACAGAAAATAGTATAATAGCGGTAAATTCGCGAAAAAATAACAATGACACTCTCGTACCTTGTTATGTAAAGTTTCCACAATCAAGAACAATTTCATTGGGCAGTAGTGAAGATGAGACGGCTTTCTTGTATTATAAATGATAATTCTTTTTTTTTATATAATAATAATTACTATTATATCCCTTATCGCGTCATTGTGATGGAAAAAGATTTATTAGTTTATGTACATTAAACGAACAGAAACACATTATCTAATATAACGTAGACGTAGCAATTATAATGTTACACAAGTATATGTACAAACGTTTTTTTTTTAATCTCATTACAATGTCCACTATTTGCTATAAAATGGATGCTTTAGCTCAAATTCCATCATTATTTTTTCTTACAATTTACAGAAGATTAAAAATATTATTTCAGAACATTTATGTAAGCGGTTGTTTGTCGAAGAATTTTTGGCCACTTCTGCATTTTTCAATTTTATAAGGTGCCTTTTTCGAAAAAGAAGTTCAATTAAAACACAAATTTGTTCTTTGATAAACAATCCACGGCTTATTTTACTCCTTCAGTATTTGCATTTACGTGACGTGAAAGTTCATAACTGACTTGTATAACGATTAACGGAAAGTCTAAACTTTTATTTACTATTTGAAATATATTATTTTGGTCTGATGAAAATGCACTTTCAATTTATTATTAATTTTTGAAATAGTGGTAATTTTGCGTAGGTATTTACATGAGAATTATTTTTTTAAACAACACCTAAAGTTACGTCTATACTTATACTAATATAAAAAAATAAGATCTTACAAAAGTAAAAGTTCCAGTTGTTTCGTGAAAGTACGATCTAAAAAATCTTTATTTTGAGAAATTAATACCACTAACATCGTGTCATTTAGTTGATTATTCAACTTTAATTTTCTAATATCTATTATAGTTATAGTTTATAAGTTAACATCAATTGATTATTTAGTAAAAATAGATGTGTTACTTTAATATATAGCTATATATTATTGTCTAAATTTAATTTGTAATATAGTGATATTATTGTAAAATAAGAAGTTCCAATTAAAAGAAAATAATTTATCGTGTTTAGCAGTTAGTACCAAGATTATTTTAATTTTTGTTTTTCTTTTCTATTTTTCCTGTGAGACGTATTTAATTATATTTTACAACTGTCCGTAGTTCAATCGTAAATAAACCAAATTTTTAATACATACTTGCTGTTTTATTTTTGTACTTTTAATACATGCGAAGTATTCTGGACATTTTCTTAAAACTCCTGACTGCTGCAAAATTGATATTTATTATTTATGTCGCATAAAGTAAATATTATATATCTAATCGTATGCTAGTATTAATTGAAGATTTTTATCAAAATATGTATATTGCTTTATTTGAGAAAAAAATCGGGCACACAGTTACATTTATTTTAAGAGGAAGTCTTTTGAACGTATTACAAAATTATCAGAAAATATATTATTATTTAAAAAATTGGGAGTCTCAATTCATACAAATATATTTTTGATAACTTGTTTTACAAAAAAATGAGGTAAAATAATGTTGACATTATCTCATACATAAAACTTCAAGCGTTTTGAACTTTCAGCTTAAAAACTATAAAAAAAAAAACTTATCATTTCTGGCCCTGTGACTTTGGTGGCGGTCTATAAACGCCAACTACAACAGCGTGGTCTCTTTCATAAGGCTCTAATGTGATCTGTTCCTGCGGTTTAAGTTTATCAGCTTGTAATTTTTTAACTTCTGATGCAAACACTGCTTCAGGTTGGGCAGTAGAATCGATACACGACGCTTTAATAGATATAACAAAATGTCCGCCATTTTTCAAAAAATATTGAGCATTCAGGGAAACTATCCTGGCCTGATCTGGTTGTGCAACATCCGCAAATATTGTGTCAACCATACCAACAAGCATCCTATATTTGTGTGGATGTCTGGCATCTTCAATTATTGGAATTATATTTGTTCGTTTTTTAGCAACATTTATTAAGTCTCTTCCCGAACGATGAGAAAATTCAACAGCATACACCAACCCTTCTGGTCCCACAATGTCTGATACATGAGAAACTGTTGTGCCCGATGCCGCACCCAAATACAAAACCTTGCTTCCAGGAGCCATGTGAATCTGATCAATGCCTCCTAATATAGCAGCAGCTAATTTACTTCTAAATGGATTCCATACTCTGTATTCTATTTTATTTCCATCATTCTATAACCAATAATAAATGAATAATCTATTTTTTGTTTTTGTACAATTTCTTTTAATTTTACCTCAACAGATATCCTTTTTTCTCCATATACATCACTTCCAGGCACTAAATTCAATGTGACTAATGCATCTTCTTTGCCCCTGGCAATAAAGACACCTTCATGCCTATGTGGTTCAATAATAACCGTTTTTCCGCCCTTAAATCCTCCTCCACTAGGTCTTCCCCCTCGTCCTCTTCCACCTCCTCCTCCTCTCCCTCTTCCACCGCCGCCCCTGCCACTTTTAAAACCACCACCTCCACCTCCACCGCCGCGACCTCTGAAACCACCTCTACCACCTCCGCCACCACGGCCACGACCACCACCGCCACCCCTTGGTGAAAATCCTTGTAAAAAAACATTAAAAATTAAAATGCATTTTTAAATATTCATTAACCTAAATAAACTAACCTTATTTTGGTTTGATGAGTTATTTTAAAGATAATTGCAAATTTACTATATTTAAATACGAACTACTTAGTAAAAAAGATACTGGTAAAATAATTTTAACATAATATTTATGGAAATAAGATATCACAAATTAAAATTCCTGATTTATATTTATTATATTACTTTAAATATTAAATTTACATTCAATGCAATTGTACACTATCAAACACTTACCCATTTTTTAAGTAAACAGGGAGAATAACACTTTTTAATACTTTACACAAATATAACCTTTTTAATATTCATACCAAAACACGTGCATGTGCAAAAGCTAACACAATTCACAGATAAGAAGCACAAAGAGCTGCTAAAAATAATAATATCCGTATGTTGTGTCGCATACGCAGAAGGACCGCGCCTTTCATTCATTGTAGGAAAAATATAAATTGATTCTTATTTCGTCGTTTACCTAATATTATTTTATACTTTTTTATAAAATAGAAAATTATTTTCATGGTACTATTGGGTATTGTTTTCTAAGACAATTCAAATTGTCAGTTATCTATGTACATGTATATATAATATACGATATTCTAGATATGATCCATACTTATCTATGGTTCTAGATGATTTATTTGTTGAATTATTCTTTGTAGGTGTGGTAAATATCTAAATGTTGTTTTAAAATATTTAACAATTACGATGGATAGTAAAGGTAGAAAAGTAATAGTGTGCGATAACGGTACTGGAGTATGTATTTAATATTATAATTTGAAATAATAGTAACGGCAATATAAATTTTAGTTTGTTAAATGTGGATATGCCGGCAGTAATTTTCCAGCATTTGTTATTCCTTCGATGGTTGGAAGACCCATTATTAGAGCTGTTAATAAAATTGGTGATATCGAAATTAAGGTAAATTATTTTTTATTATGGGGGCTTTCAATTCAAAACATTTAAACCAACCTTGCAAGGGCATGAATAAGAACATATATTGTATATGTATGTGATAAGTACATGTACATTTTCACTGAAGAACTTTTCTTTGTTTAAATATTTTGATACAATAGGCAAAAAACCCAATTTTTTAAATGTATATTCTAGCTATATATTATTNAAGATATGTTAATGTTTTAGGGAATACACATTGACGTAAGTGCTGCTTTGTAAGGAATGTTTTTAGTGTTAGTTTTGATGCTTGGCTTTTCCTAATCATTAACACTTTTAATAATTACCTTTAAAACTGAAGAATATATTTGAGATTTGGTTATTTTAATTTTGTCTAAATTTTATAGTACACTGTTCAATTAAGTAGAAACATTTTAATCCTTGTTCTTTTTAAATTATTTTTCTGAATGTGAATGCAAAACATTTCTAGACTTCACTGAAAACAGGCATATTTTTTAATATTATATTTGCACCTTTTAATTCTTAAAAGTTTCAATAGGTTGCCATAAACCAGAGTTGGGCAAACCCCTTACCAAAAGAGCCTGAAGCTCTAAGCCGATGTCTTTGCTTAAAGTGTTTTACCCCTTAAAGCCCCAAATACATTATAAAATCCTAGGACTTCCAATTACGAATTACTTCTAAAGCAAATAGATTCAAATCCATAGACACTTAGAAATCAAGCACACTGAAAAAACTTGATGCTCTGAATTATAAACTACCCTGCAAAAGTACTATTTGCAGGGTAGTTTGTTTACCCACACTCAACCTCTGCCCAGCTCTACCATAAACATATAAATAAACTAGCATTACATACTTTGGTATTGTGTATTGTATGCATGAATTGGCCAATTTAAAATAACATCTGTCTTCTGCTATGTTGTCATGATTAGCCTCAATTTACTTGTAATGCAATTTTATTACATGCTTCAGGGTGTAGCAAGTTCACTCCCTGTAAGTAGAAGTAATTACAAACAGTAAAGTTATTTAATAACTATATCTATTTAGATGTTGCTATTAATAAGGTCAGATTTAGAAAACGTACATACAAGCATCAATAATTTATTAGTAAATAGTATTTATTTGCAGTTTGTAGTTAAGTTACATTTTAAAGCTTGTTATGGACTAATTTCTGTATTCCTTACGATTTTCTCATCTAAATAGTTTCTATTTGAACACATAATATTGAATTTGATGAGAAAATAGCTTCAATCAAATTTCTAGTTCGAATGTTATTGTAGTGCTAATAATTTTTTAGGATTTAATGGTTGGAGATGAAGCATCGGCATTGCATTCTTTATTAGAAGTAGATTATCCTATGGAAAATGGAATTGTAAGGAATTGGGATGATATGTGTCATGTGTGGGACTATACCTTTGGACCTAAGAAAATGAATATCAACCCACCAGACACTAAGGTAGGAAGACATAAGCAAACATTATGAATGTATAGGTATATAGTTGCATAGGAGTATGTGTTTAAAATAATTAATGTTTTTAGATTTTGTTGACAGAACCACCCATGAATCCTGTAAAAAATAGAGAAAAAATGATAGAAGTCATGTTTGAGAAGTATGGATTTGCTGAAACTTATATTGTAATTCAAGCTGTTTTAACGTTATATGCCCAGGTACAACTAATATATAACTTTTTAACTCTTAATTCTCTTGTTTTATGCCAATAGTTACTAATTATTTTTGTAATTCTTACAGGGGCTTTTGTCAGGGGTGGTAGTTGATTCTGGGGATGGAGTAACTCACATTTGTCCTGTGTACGAAGAATATGCTTTACCTCATTTAACAAGAAGGTTAGACATTGCAGGGCGCGATATTACACGATACCTCATTAAATTGCTGCTCCTCAGAGGATATGCATTTAATCATTCGGCAGATTTTGAGACTGTTAGTAATAAAAAAAAGTTAGTAATTTAAAAAAATGTATTTCATTCTTTTGATTCTTTTAGGTAAGAATGATAAAGGAAAAATTGTGTTACATAGGCTATGATATTGAAGCTGAGCAAAAGTTAGCATTAGAAACTACAGTTCTGGTAGAGCCTTATACATTACCAGATGGTAGAGTAATAAAAGTGGGTGGTGAAAGATTTGAAGCACCTGAGGCCCTCTTCCAACCACATTTGATAAATGTGGAAGGTCAGGGTATAGCAGAATTAGTATTCAATACGATTCAGGTAAAGCTATTTGTTTTGAGATTCTGTCTAATAAAAAATAATTCAGATTTGATTTTATTATATTTAAAAGCATTTGCTGTACAGTGTTTAGTCCGTTTTATAAAATTCTTTTTTTAATTTTATCAGGCTGCTGATATAGATATGAGGTCTGAGTTGTACAAGCATATAGTATTATCTGGTGGATCTACAATGTACCCGGGACTTCCCTCGAGGCTAGAACGGGAAATTAGGCAATTATATTTAGAAAGAGTACTTAAAAATGACACCGAAAAATTTCGCAAATTTAAAATAAGAATAGAAGACCCACCAGGTCGGAAAGACATGGTGTTTGTTGGTGGAGCAGTTATTGCGGAGGTCCTCAAGGACAGGGAGGATTTCTGGATTACTAAAGAAGAATATAAAGAGCAGGGATTAAACGTTCTTAAGAAACTTGGAATGAGGGTTGGTTAAATTTAAATTATACTAATTTTAATAAATTACTAAAATTCCATTTTTGCTATTTCTCTACAAACAACTGTAATTAGATAATCTAGACTGTAAGATAAATTCTGTACTTTTTATTCGGTTATTTTTGTACATAAGTAATACTATTATTAAGTATTTATAATTATTTACTGCCAATGTATTTTGAATTAATCAAAAAAAAATTTATTACTTAATGGCCTGTAGGTATTTTTAAAAATAAATATGTTATAAATGTTTTTTTGTCTTTTATCGCTCTAATAAATTAAGAATATAAGATACATAAAAAATAGTTTTACAATTTTATTTCATATTAAGCCTTATTTTGCGATAAGATGATTTGAACACTACTACCATTTATTATTAGTTGAGAAGATTAACCCTTGTGATTATAAGAATCAATGGGAATCATAGAAGAAAAAGTCCTGCAACCATTTTGTTTTTGTGGTTATTAGTTTCTTCCAGTAAATAACGTATTTTATTGTAGTTATTAATTATAATTTGTAATTAAAAAGTGATAATGGCAAAACGCAAAACAGCCCTTATTGACTCAGACTCTAGTAATGATTCAAATAGTGATTTGGATTCGGTAAGTAGAGGTTTTCTTCTTTTATAGGTTAGATTGCAACGGGAATTCAAAATCAATTTTCCAAAATTTTATTTATTTAAAACTGCATTTAACGTTTGTTTCTTTGTAATAGTTCAATGCGTTAAAATAAAAAATTGGCCCAAATTATGTAGTTTTTCTGTGAAGTTTGACAGTTGTGTAATACTCATATTTGGGTTGAAAATTGTACTTGATTTTACTAAATACTTTTTTTAATGTTGCAGGAATTTTTAAGTTTAGCAAAAAAAAAGAATAAGAAAAAAAAGTCTAAGGACAGTACTGCCTACGATTCAGACTCCTCAGGTGAAGAAACTGACAAACAGAATGCAAAGAAACGTGCTAAAAGAGACTCATCAATTTCTCCGCATGAAGAACCCAAAGAACAAGAAAATAACTCGGAACCAGAAGAAGGCGAGGTTTCAGACAGTAGTAGTTCAGAAGAAGAGTTTAATGATGGATATGATGATCAGCTTATGGGAGATGAAGAAGATAGAGCCCGATTAGCTAGTCTTACAGAAAAAGAGAGAGAAACAGAAATTTTTAAAAGGATTGAGCAAAGAGAACTTATGAAAACTAGGTAAATATTTATTAAAACAGACTTAACTGACACTTATCATATAAAATGCCCTAGTAATTGTCAGTATGATTTTCCATTGCTAGGCACTATTAAAAAAAATATTCTACAGTAAGCTGTGAATTTTGTTTTGCTAATGTTTTATTAAGCCGTTTATAAACAGGTTGTAAATTTCAAAAAGCATTAATATTAGCCAGTTTTTTATGTTTATTAAGACTTAAAAGGTTCGCAAACCTTTACAGAAATTGTCAAAATTTATTGTGTTAAACCATCAAGTAGTCAGGTTAGTTTTCTGTTTAAATGTTTATTATTTAAACATTCTTATTTAATTATAATTGAAAGACTATAATATATTTGCGGAGTAAATGTACGTAATATTAACAATAATCATTATTATCGTACCATTGTACCTAAATAAGAAGATTGCTTTTACACTGTAAAGTACTCCTATTTCACTTTATTTATTTTTAAGACGATAATTTGTGTGTATTAGGTTTGAAATTGAAAGGAAATTGCGACAGCAAAGAAAATTGGAGAGAGCAAAAGATAAAAAGCCACCAAAGGAAAAAAAAGAGAAACCGAAAAAATCGCCCGAGGTACAAGATGACTTTCAACAATCTAGTGCACAATTTATATCCATAGATCATAAAGAAAGGAGCAAAGAACGAAAGAAAAACATTGAGGAGAACAGAGGCAGACAAGATAAAAGGGCCGATGCAATGGCTGAATTGAAAGCAAGAAGGGAAGGAAAGCAGAAACGGGAAGAGCAGGAAAGTGCACGTAGAGAAGAGCAGAAAAAGAAAGAAGAAGAGGAAGCTGCCCTTCTTTCTCCAAATAAAAACAGCATTAAACTTAAAGCATCAGATATTTATTCAGACGACAGTGAAAGTGAAGGTATAGTTGCCATTTTATGATTAATTACTTTGTTTTATTTTATCTTCTCTTTTGGTCCCTTCAGGTGGACGTACTTCTCCCCAACCACAGCGTGAAATTGCCAGTTCGACAAGATCTCGGTCATCGTCCAGTTCAAGTTCGAGCGAGAACGAACAAGAAGAAGAAGAAAAGAAACCTGCATATGTTCCTAGTAGGGAAGAGTTAAATACAATTAGACTTTCGAGGCAGAAATTAGAACGGTTCGTTCATTTGCCCTTCTTTGATCGCATAGCCAGAGGATGTTTCATTAAAATAGGCATTGGGCAACACAATGGAATGGCTGTTTATAGAATGGCAGAAATCACAGGAGTGTACGAAACTGCTAAAGTGTATCAATTGGGCAATACAAGAACAAACAAGGCAAGTATTTTTATTTTTCGTAAATACAATCAGTACTTTTTCACAGCTTGTTTAGGGTATACTTTTTTTTTTTATTAATATAACTCGAAGTAATTTTTTTTACGGTCAATATTTTTACATATTTATGTACATTATCAAATAAGTACTTTATTTAATTGAAAACAATTTTGATATTACATAAGTATTTAACATTTTCTTGTAATGCTAATACATTTGTAACAAAACTGGTTTTCATTGTGTTTTTGTTTTCCATTTTGTTCATTATAATTCTGATTTTAAAGGGGCATAGGTAACACAAGTTAGTAATAAAGACGGTGTTGTGCTTAATGCAGGGTTTAAGAGTACGCCATGGTACACAGGAACGGGTCTTTCGTTTGGAATTCATTTCAAATCAAGAATTCTCCGATAACGAGTATACGAAATGGTTAGACGCCACCAGAGTAGCGGACTTACCGATTCCAACATTAGAAAGGGTAAAAGAAAAACAATCAGACATTAAAGAAGCACTCCATTACGAATTCAATGAGCAGGACATTGAAAAGATTGTAAGTAAAGAGTTAACTTTTATTTTTATTGTGAAAGTATGTTAAGAAATGATACCTAACTGCTTTTATGAATATATGTAATGCATTGTGAAATTTAAGATAAGAGAAAAGGAACGTTTTAAACCCACGCCTTACAATTATGCGATGAAAAAGACGCAGTTAATGAAAGAACGGGATTCAGCCATAATGCGGGGCGACGACGAAGCTGCTAGGAGTCTGAATAAAAAAATTCAGGAACTAGAAGAGCGTGCATCGGAACTAGACAAACTTAGAACTTCTACAATTTCCAGCATTTCATACATAAATGACAGGAATCGCAAAAGAAACGTGGAAGAAGCCGAAAAAGCGATTTTAGAAGAAGTTAAGGCATCCAAAGGAAAAAAGGTAGTTTTTTTTTTATTTAATAGTATATGAAGTTAATTTGCTTGTTCTGCTTAGGCTGATGATCCATTTACAAGAAGATCTACAAAACCTCGCATGTCATTCAAAGCTGAAAAGGAAGAGGCACCGGAGCCGGAAGAAATACCAGTGGAAGAGGAAAAACCGAAAGACAAAGTCGAAAACACTGAGCCGACAGCGCCCGTTCAAATAACTCAAGACGATCTATTTTCAGCTCACGATTTTGACATTAAAATCGATCTGGATGTTGCACTGCCAAGTGAGTTTTAATTTTATTTTTCGGTCTATTTTGCGCTAATAACTTTTTAACCATTAATAATTTACTGTTAAAATTTATAGCAACTCCAGTAAGTGTGATGCCAAGAGCTGCCGGAAGTAACGTAATAGGACCCAGAAGAAGCTTAAATTTACAGGATTACAAGAAAAAAAGAGGTTTAATTTAGTATTTAAACTTTCTGATTGTAATGTATTATAATTTTAAGTTTTATAATTAAGATTAATTATTATGTTAATTTTAACGTAATTCTCATTTTTTAACTGCAACTGGATTTAAAAAATTACATTAATTTTTATTGACCTTTAGGTTGTATTCTAGCAATTGTTACTTGTTGTTTTAGTAAATAAATATTTTTTTAAATA